CGAACCTGGGGGCCCGAAAGGATGATGTCGGGGCCTACCCGGCTAGACGTCCAATCAAGCCGCCGGTCATGCGGCTAACCGGTATGGGAGTTCCACGGGCAGGTAAGGCCTACAAGGCCACAGTCAGGGTAAGCCGGTAAGCCACAGGTGGGCGGAGCCTGCAGACGCAGGCAGGGAAGATACAGGGCGAGCTCTTCATATTGAAGAGCTGCTCCTGTTCAATGTGGAACAGGAGCTAGCCCAGTACGTTAACGCATCACCTGGCAGACACAGGGTTGGCTCCTTTTGGAGCTATCTTTTTTTTTTTTGTATATATAAGGCATCTGAGCGCGGCCAATCTTGGCCGTTCGATCATAAGATCTCGCGGCTGAGATCAGCCGCGCGGAGTTAGTATAGCCCCTGCGCAAGGATGACACTCATAAATCGAGAAAAGGCCGAAAATGTTTTTTCGATTCCCTTAGGGAATCGAACTCTGGCCTGTACATCGGCAGGAGGGGGGTGGGGAAAGCCAGCAAGGCTGGCGTAGGCAGCAATGGCCGTTGGCTTGTGCCAAACGGCATTTCTAAAATAAAAAAAAATAAAAAAAAGAGGGAAGAAACGAAATGCGCCAGATGGCGCTTCGACATGTGGCTGGGGACTATAGTCCCCAAGGAAGACAGCAGGCGCCCATCGGAAAAAAAAACGGGCTGCTGTTTTTAGGAGAGTTCGTTTTGTTATTTTCTGTTAGATTTCCTTTCAAATTTTTTTAGATTTTTTATTTTGTTTTTTTTCTCTTCTTTCCTCTCTCTACAGGCTACCGAAAGTGCCCGTTCGTCAAAAACGAACGGGCAGTGCAGACTGTTTCGTCAGATTCCCACCGACTCATCAGGAGGCTGAGCCTCGACAGTCCATCTACATGATGGACAAAAACGGGTGAATCGGCCGCAGGAACGCGGCTAAGTACAGAGAGAGAGAGAGAGAGACGGGAGAGGACCACCTACCTACCTACCGACCTACCTAAGGTTGGTTCCTCGTCGAAGACTCCAACGACAGGATGAGCAAAATCGAATGAATCTTCCACTAGAACATGGAAATATACACCCTCATATGTTGCTTTTCCCCTACCCTCAGTCGAAGTCGGAATCTGCAACCGTTCGTTCGAAGAAACGGGCAGCAGACTCAACTTCAGGTAAGTTTTTTTTTTTCTTCTTTTTAGTTTTTCTTTTCCCTTCCCCATTTTGTGGCCATTAGACAGCAGGATATGGGGGAAAAACAAGAAAAGGGGCAGAACGAGGCAACTGCCTCGTGAAAAATTCAAAAAAAAAAAAAAAAAAAGAAGCAAAAGGAGAAAACAAAAACGAGGCAACTGCCTCGTGGGGGAAGAACAGTCCTTTGAACTGTGTGGGAGCACAAAGGCTCCCACTTCGTTTTTGAGACCAACTTACTGTGGCCGCGAGATCTTGAATCTCGCGGCCCACAGTACATTCGTGGAAATTGAGAGAGAGAGAAGAACGTGAGAGTTGGGAGGGGGAGGTCCTACTCCTGCCAACTGCCCTCCCCGTTTTCAGGGGAGGGCAAAGAAAAGTAAGGGAGGACTGTAGCATGCAACTGCATGAACCTGGCCGAGAGAATGGCCAGGCGCATGCAGTTAGAATGGTTTAAATTTTCTTTTTCTTTTTATTTATTTCTTGTTTATTTTTGTGAGGACACTTGTCCTCACGTGGTGCTACCTCTGGCAGAAGCTGCCAGAGGTAACTGCCAGGCTCCCGTTTCTGAAGTGAGCCTGGAAATTGAAGGGCCACTAAGCAAAAGGCTAGGTGCAGCCTTTTCCTCGATGTATCTGCCCTGGGAAGAGGGTCCAGATACATCAAATTGTAAGGGGTTGTATCTCTCCAACCCCTTGTCAAAAAAATAAAAGAAAAATAGATTTGGAAATGGCAGGAACCCAGCTATGTCGTGAGATTCCGAGATAGCTGGGAAAAAGAAGAGAAAAATAAAATAGGGCAGTTAAAGAAACTGCCCCACACTAAGGCTGTGGCTGTGGTGCGGCCACAGTCAGCCCTGGATCCTGGCCAGATCAAGGGCTCACAGTGAGCCTGTGATTTTGCCTGGGGGCTGGAGTGACGTCCAGCCCTCCTCAACCAATATAAAACAGGCAGCTGCCCTCCAGCTGGCACACAATGCACTCGTGATGCCAATGTGTGACGAGCACACTTGAGTGCTGCTGGCTGCTGGAACTGCTGCCTGAGGCAACGTGAGGAGAGGCTGGAGATTTGCAGGGAGCGCAAGAGGTGAGCTGGGCGGCCATAGCCAAGGCAGGGAGCACTCTGCTTTCCTCCCCTCTGGCTGGTGCTGGTCCCACATGACAGACCCAGTGACGCTGCCGGACTACGGCAGTGCGGCACAGTGAAATTTGGGCCTGGGGCCCAAATTTTACAGATTTTGGCCTGCTGTTTTTCACTGCGGTAGTACGGGAGTGCTACAGAAATTCTGCGGCGGCAATGCGGCTTTTACGACAGCGATACGGAAGTGCTGCCGAAATTCTGCGGCGGCAACGCGGCTTTTTACAGCGGTGGTACGGAGGCGCTGCCGAACCTTTGCGGCGGCAACGCAGGTTTTTACGGCGATGGTACAGAGGTGCTGCCGAACCTTTGCGGCGGCGACGCAGGTTTTTACGGCAGTGGTACAGAAGTGCTGCCGAAATTCTGCGGCTGCGACGCGGGTTTTTACGGCGGTGGTGCGGAAGCGCTGCAAAAATTTTACGGCGACGGCACCAAGCTTTACAGCGGTAGTGCGGAAGCGCTGTTGAAAATTTTCGCAACGTCAGCAGAGGGTTTACGGCGATGACGGCAATAATTTTACATTGAGCGGCAGTTGGGCCTTGGCGCAAGGAAGGTGTCACTAGAGTGGGGTATCTTGAGGCGGCGTGGACTTGACGACGCAATGACTCGGTGACAGTGGAAGCTAGTGGCGACTATACTTACTGAAAAATAAGTAAGGGGGTGTTGTGGTAGGTGATCGCAGCAAGAGAGTGGTTTGGATCACTTTGCTGACGACTGAGGAGGACTACCGGCGCGTCAAAAGGAGCGAAATTTTATACGGTCTTCTTGAGTGTACCGTTCAACTTCACTCAAGGTCAGTTCAATGACTCAGACTTCCTTTCACGCCTGTGTGGACCCGCACTTTGCTTGACCCTGTTCATTTTGAATATTTAAAAGAAAAGGTAGAGGAAAGTTGTGCAAGTCATGCATGTGAGTGGAAAAGTCTGACTCGAGTATGGGAGGACTACCGGCGCGTCAGAAGGAGCGTAATTTTATACGGTCTTCTTGAGTGTACTGTTCAACTTCACTCAAGGTCAGCTGAATGACTCAGACTTCCTTTCACGCCTGTGTGGACACGCACTTTGCTTGACCCTGTTCGTTTTCAATATTTAAAAAAGAAGGTATAGGAAAGTTGTGCAAGTCATGCATGTGAGTGGAAAAGTCTAACTCGAGTATGGGATTGCACTCTTTTCCTTCGAACGTGTTTCCTTTGCCGTCTGTGCAGGTATGTAGAGGGATGCTTACAAAGGAGATTGATTATGCCTATTTGAGATGAAGGAATGAATTGTCTTCTTTCTACCTTTCACCTGCCTGCTTGTCAAAAAGAACTTGTTGTTTTGGAAAAATGTTATTCATCGTGTGTCGTAGAATGGATTCTATTGAAATAAAGCAAATAAGGTCAAACGGACTAGCTTTTTCCCAAGGATTGACCCATTCTATCCCGAACGACCTTATCTACTTGTACCTGTCTAAATGATTCTCATTTTCTTTATCTCTTCTGATTTCTTTTCGTCCAAGTTACCCTGGGACTTAGGGGAAATAAAAAATATATGAAAGCTACTTGCGGTGGACGCATCCTCTATCTCTAGGAAGCATCTGGGGCGGGGGTTCGTTGCTTCAGGAGCCAACCCTGTTATCGACCCAGAGTGGACCGTTCTACGGGGGGGTGCTTGTCGATTCGATGGAGACGGCCCGACTTCTGAGATCCGAGTCTTGTGCTCGGACGAGGAGGAGGAGTACCCCAGACCACTTCCTAGAGGAAGAGGCATGCTTCACGTCAAGCAATGCCCTTGATCAAGAATCATGGGCAAGCGGTTTGTCATCCAAAAAGATTGGAAATGGACGAAGACAGGTATGTGCGTCGAATCTTAGATCGACGATAGGATGGAATGAATGACTTTGGCAACGCGTCTCATCAAGTCAAAAACTGAGGTTGTCCAACTACCATGTTGGCAACATCAATGTTATTTTCGATTAGCCAACTTTTCATTGGCAGTTGTTTGATTGTTTTGTGGTGTTCGACCTGAGATGGTCGAATTGTATTTCGATCCTATGTTGTCGAATGTATCTAATGATGATTTGGATTCTATCTGTCATTATTTCACATTGAAAATATTTTTCCTATTGACCACGGTTCATTCTTTTTTATATATAACTATATGCGGTCGTTTAACTTTCTTTTAACTGGTGTCTAAAGGGACTAGGATATTGTGGGTTTCACGCTTGGTTGAGACAGTCCTAGTCGACCGACGTCCGCTTCGTACCTAGGAGATCAGCGCCCTGGGGGACGGACGACGTTCGGGTCCGCTCGGCGTTAACCAAGCGACTCCTATACTGCAGCGAGTCGAGCAAACGCCCTCGGCTGACTTACCTCTACAATTGCGTCCAAAAGCTTTCGCACGTGGGTCAGTAGCTCGGCAGGGATACGCCCCTAAGGGTGGTGACAGCCCCTTAGGGATGCAAGCTTATGCCCCACGAAAACCTATCCTGTCGTAGGGGATCGTGGGATGTATAGCTGGCGCACCCGGCTAGAGCGACGAAGGAGCGATGCAACCACGTCCGTCTCGGCGGTTCGCGGAATGTTATGCGTCGTTCCCGAGTTGTCTCTCGAACGATGTTTTTAGGTAAACTCCCGCGTGACATGGTCGGGAGGGCCCTCGTTTTCGCGCGAGGGCCGATGCGCTCGACAGCGAAATACACCGGTACGGCCTCGATGTAGTGGTCGATAAGTTGCTGCGTCCTTCCGACCGCCAAATTGATCGTCGTCGGGTTTGCCTTCCTCTGAACTTGTGCGCCAAGGCCAGCCCTTTGCATAAAGGCTTGGCTCATGAAATTGCGAGACGCGTCGCTATCCAGTAAAGCGTTGCAGGACGCTTGCCGAACTTGGATGCAGACATAGAGGAGCGATGCGTTGTTGTCATCGTACTGCTGCTTGCGAAACTCGCGGGCCACCTTGGTAACATACGCAAAGATGTCCCCCACCTCGACTTCGTCATCCATCGGCGAACTTGGTGGTGCATAGAAGGATAGATACATGTGAAGATGAGCGCATAATGTTGCGCATTGTGGTCCCGCCAAGCGGCCCGTGGTCAGGAGAGGAAGGCATGCGAAATCCTCCGACGTGAGCGGGTCCAAGACCTCTATGTTGAACTTGCGCGCCGAGTCCCGTGAAGAACCACTTGAAGACGATAAGTCGCTGTTGACGGACGGAGAAGATGTCGCACGCATGTCTTGTCCTTGAGCATTAGTACCCAGCGTATGAACAAGCCGGGCAGCATAGTCCTTATAAGAATACAGAAGAGGACTATCGACTTCCGCATGTGCCTTGAAACGAAGGGTAGTCACCCGTGAAGCGCCCGATTCCAAAGGCGTCGAGAGTGTCGTAAATTCACTCTTGGCAGTGCTCAGTTTCACGACTTGCCCGTGCCTTTTGACGAGCAGCCCACTGTGTCGTGGAGATCGTTGTTACACCACATACAATAGCAGAATCTAGTGCGTAGCTTGTACGCACGTTTGAAGAGACCCTAGTGGAACCATGGGGCTGGAGCTATTGCGCCGGGCCCGGGGATAGATGCGGTGTTTGTCTTCGTCTTGCCTCGTCCTCAGCCTTTGCCGAAGCGGCCACCATCCCGGGTGGTTGCGAGTCTGTCCCCTTCATTGGCAGACATGGCCTCGCTAGATTGGTCAGTTGGCGTTGCCGCCACGACCACGGCCACTTTCGGCTGATGTTGATCTCTGCTCGGGCCTGCTGCACACGAACGGTTGAGGTTCTTATCCTCCTTGTTCGTGACAATGATCTGCGCGGCCTTGTCGAAGAGCTCCGCCATTGTCGTCAGCTTGTCCTCAACGTGACTCAAGTAGTTGCCCAAAGTCGAACACGACCTCGTGATGAAGTAGTGTTTGACGGCCTTAAAGCCCATCTGAATGTCTGGGACGGATATGAAGCATTGGCACTCGGCAATCCAATCAATACTCGGCAGCGTGCCTTGTTCGAAGGTCATCAATTTGTCCATTGCCGTGACTCTACTTGGAACCGTTTATGCCACGCCGCCTTTAGATCATTCCCGTTGATCTTGATGTACAAGTCGGAAGCTACCACCCCGTACTTGGAAAGAGATTGTCCAACCATGCTTGGAACGCGCCCCCCTGACCGGGAGTATAAGTAAGTGTGATGCTTGTCCTCGCTGGCGTGGTGTAGCTGCAACTTGAGCTCGAACTTGAGGAACCATGGAATCGGGTCCGTCGTCGTCGAATCGCAGAAGATCTCCTGACCATCGAACTTTGGAGTCGTCTCGCACGGTGCCGAACTCGGTGTGGCGACGGTATCACAGATCCGCTGCTCCGGTTGTTGCGTGGCGGTTTGCTGTAGTTGCGCGTCGTCCTTGAGGGTTCCGACGTCGATCTTCAATGCATTGAGGCGATCAGAGGTCTTGGAGGAGCTAGCATCGGGGACGGCAACGGGTTGTTGCTCCAGCTGCTGGAGGCTGCTGTTGACTTGATCAAACGACTGGTTGTGCGTCTGAACCGCGTCGTCGCGGTTCTGGATGTCCTCCTGTTGTGCAATGCACGTGGCTAGGAGATCCGTGAAATGGGAGAGGAGTAGAGCGATCTTGCTTTCACTCTCTTCCATCTTACCATTCTCGTCCTCGGCCCGCCAGTCCGCTGCCATTGTGAGCACGGCTCGCTCTCCGTTGAATATCTTCTCGTGTCGTTGACTTCGTTCTTCATCTGCAGCCCTTGGTGGTGCCTCGTCTTGCTGACGCTGCTGTTCGATTGCCAACGGACGTGCCTTCTTGGCGTCCTCTGCCTTCTTTTTCTCTGCGGCTGCTACCTCTTCCGCCCGTTTCTTGGCTTCGGTAATCAAAGCCAGCTTCCGGGCCTGATAGGCCTTCGCCATTTGCCCGAACTTTTGATCCATGCCGGCTGTTTGTAAGCGCATGAGCATCGACCAGGCCGGAGGATTGCTGACGTGGCACTCCCTGCTGCTGACGTGGTACTGCTCGGCTGCTGACGTGGCACGGCTGTCGGCTGATGTGTCCTGCTGACATGTCCTGCTGACATGTCCTGCTGACGTGGTCTGCTCACGTGACCTGCTGACATGGCCTGCTGACGTGGCCTGCTGACGTGGCCTGCTGACGTGGCAACTCACCAATGCCGCTGCAGGGGGTACCCGCAAACAGATAGAGGAGACCAGAGCAAGCAACAACATAGGTGGGGAGGGGTGGGTGGGATAAATCGCCCAGATAAGGAGCCACTAATCAAAAAGAAAAGTTTGAACTTGCAAAAAATTCGAGAAAAAGAAAAAAAATACTCATTTGCAAGTTCAATAGGCCTCGCAATTCCCCCTGAAGTGCGAAATTACAAATGAGGAAAAAGACTTTGAACTTTCAGACTACAAATGATTGTCCGATAAAAGAATTTCGAAAATAAAATACAAAAAATATTCCGAATGACTCAGATGAGAGTACGCGCAGTTTGGAAAATGATAACCGCAAGAGGGATTTCCCGTACGGTTTTCAAATCTCGAAAAACGAATTTCAAAAATTAAAACAATATTCCAGATTTCCAAATAACGGGAAATTGCAGAAGGAAATCAAGATTTTCGAAAAAAAATATTCCGGATTTCCAACAACGAAATTTTGAATTCTCAAAAAAACGAAAACGAAAATTTCAGTCTGTATGGGTCTACCAGATCCCTGTTTGTCATCATGCTGTGAATTGGCAAAGCCTCTTCTGCCAAGCCGTCCTCCCAGTGTCTACCCCCTGCAGGCACTTTGCAAGCTAGGATCCAAAGTTGCATTCCAGTCCCCTACCAATATTCAGTGTCTATCCGCCTCTAGAATGTCCTAAAGCTGTCCCACAAACTCTGCCCATTGCTGGAACCCATTGGGACAGTATACCGCCAACGGCGTGTATGGCTCCTCGTGGAACTCGAAGTTAACCTTCACCCATCTTCCCTCTGCGACGTCCACTGTAATGTTGTTCATCACCATCTTGCCTGCTGCTGGTGATCTATTGTTTTGAAGTATGAGCACCTCTGCCGAATGAGGTCTGACCACTGGTGCCCACCATGCCTCTTTGACCTTTTGAAGCCTTTGCATTATCCTGTTCTTTGTTTGCTGATGTTGATTTGATTCTGTGAGGTGTGTTTCTTGTAAACATACGAAGTCAGGTGGAGAGATGCCGAACCACTCTGTGTAGTTTATTATATTTTGCCATTTATCTTGATTGTCCAATATCCCTACTAAGCCATTTACATTCCATGACATGATTTTAATTTCCGGGGGTGTACGACTCTCCTGATCCCTCCTTGCCTGCTTCCTTGGTCTTCCTGCACCCCTGTCCGCCTTGAGTTGACTACCAGTGCCTTACCCAATGCCTTGGCTGCCTACTTGGTTCAAGAACCCAAGAGAGCCGTATCCATTACTGTTGACACCGGGCTTATCCTCTTTTCCAAGAAGTCTGGCTTCCACGCGAAGGCGTCCACCTTGACCGCTACTGCTGCGCTACGCGCCAGTCATTCTGCTGTCACCTCCCCTCCTAGCAACCCATAAGGGATGGTTTGTACAACCTGCCAAGGCATCTAGATCAGACCTTCCCTCAAACCCGTCCTATCCCTCGTATGCATGAGCAGCGGTTTGAAATTTGTCGTTGCTTCCTCCCCTTCAGCTTCCAAAGCTTCCATTGTCCCTTCCCTCCTATCCTCTAGTACACTGGCTCGAGACGGTACTCCCTCTCCAATTAGATTATGTAAGTCCTTGCCCGTGCAGGCGCTGACAGGTGTTGGGATGAGCTAGAGAGAGTGGTTAATTGCTACCTCCCAATCCGAATGTTTTTCATTCCATCGAGAGGGCAGAATAACTCTCCTCTTGGCTCCGTTCTTTGCCTCCAACCGTGCTGCTGCTTCAATCTCCTTCAGCTGCCCTTTTGCTATTTTTTGCAGATTTACGATTTCCTCCTCAAATTCCTTGTTCTCGTCCTTTAGTGCATTACAGCAAGTTGTTTTCATATAGATCAGACAGGGTTTATACCGGTAATTAGATAATGTAATGACACTAACGGAAACAGTACGCTACATCCGGGACAAGAAAATTAATGCAGCCATCTTGTTCTTCGACTTTGAAAAGGCGTATGATCAGGTCAGCTGGCCATTCCTACAGCAATGCATGGAAAAGATGGGAGTAGGCCCCAACTTCAGGAAATGTATAAGAGTTCTCTACAATGATGCACAAGGGCAAGTGCAGGTTAATGGACATTTATCTTCGACACACAGGATGTCGAGATCGGCCAGGCAGGGGGACCCCCTAGCCGCTCCGATATTTCTTTTCATAATGGAAGTTGTGGCTTCCTACCTGCACAAGGATCCATCAATCGAAAGGCTGGTAGCAGTACCGGATCAGCAGGGTCACACTATCCATCTCCCTACAACCCTCCTGTTTGTGGATGACCTGATGGTGCTTATAAGGGCGTCGGATTCATCGTTTCAGGCACTAACGAAGGCTATGGAAGCCTTCCAGCTTGCATCAGAAATGAAGATCAATTGGCAGAAAACAGAGGGGTGATGGTTGGTAGACCAGGAGCAAGAAGACATGCTTCCGGTTAACAGCCCGGAGGGGCTGCAATGGAGAACAACACGAGTTCCTATCAGATATTTAGGGATCAAGATTACTGAGGGCGGGGCGCATCAGTCGATGGCGGGAGATCTAATGTCAAAAATTCTAGCCAAGCTGGGGGCCTGGTCGGCAATCTATACATCCATTTATGGGAGGGGCCTTATACTCAACGTGTCCATCTTCTCTATGCTATGGTACATGAGGTCAATATGGACTCCACCAAGGACTACGACGGCGTTATTGAGAAGAAGAGCAGCGGCATATATTTGGACATCCAAAGTTACCAACTCACGCTTCATATCCAAAGTGGCGTGGAAAAATGTAACTAGACCGAGGCAGCAGGGTGGTCTGTGTATTCTAGACCCGGACATTCAGCTTAAGGCACTACAAACCAAGTGGGTAATTAAGCTAATATCCCATCAAAAGTTATCATGGACTTCTTTGGTGTTGCACAGGATAAGACAAATGGCTAAATATAAAACGCCACAGAATATGTCGGGCCTGTTTTGGATAATGTGCAGCAATTGGGCTAAGGTGGGCAGAAGAGAAGGGGGTAACGCGAAGGACGAGGAGGAAGCTCCGAAACTATCATATTGGGGACAACTGCTGAAGTTGTGGAAATATATCTTCCCTGCAAGGGGTCAAGGAACCTTGCGCGAGAGAAGAAGTACTCAGACAGCCTTTATTTTGCTAATCAAGCATTAAGGACATACAGGGGAAGCCGCTGACGCTCGTACTGAAGGATGCGAAGTGGGGAAAGTGGATGGAGCATGGGGTTTGGCAGGTGAAGCACCTCTGGGAAGAGAGGGAAAATAGGTGGAAAACTTAGGGTAAGCTTAAAGGGATGCCACAGATTATCAAACAACCTTGAGGTAATATTCGGAGCCATACCACAAACATGGGTGCAACTGCTACAAAACAGTACACAGTGGGGCCAGGGAGACTGGGCCACATGGCGAGACGACAAGAAACCAAAAGAAGTCTTCAGGGTCTGGAGCCAAGTGGTTTCTAGGCCAGATTGGCTGTATGCAGATAAGTATGCCATACTCCATCCTCCCAACACTACTTCTCAACTGGATAGGACATCCAAAGCACCAATCGCCATTCTTAAACAGTACTTGCGGAAGGTAAGGGTGGTAGAGACAAATGAATACACAATATTCAATCCATCTGTACCACTTGAAGAATTGGAAGTGGACCCAGGAGAATGGGCATGGAACATCAGACGTGGAGAAACAAGAACAACCAGAAGAATCAACATTCCGCACTACACTACTCGAATTGGGTACAGATTGAGGAGGCGATCTCACTCTCTTACGCCACACTCGCTGAGGCGATGGGAGAGGAGGGTAGGGGTCCCCTGACATCAATTGTCCAAAATTCCATGGCCAAACATCGCAGCGATAAACCTGGGCTCAGTCAGAAGTATGCAGTGGCTAATAGCTAATGTGGCACTTACTGTGAATGTGTGGTTAAATGAGCGAAGAAGTCTGAGGCAGAGAGATTCGGAGAGCGTGGTATGTAGAGTGTGTCAAGAGGGAATCCCAGAGACAATGCAGCATTGCCTCATGGAATGCGTCAAGGCAACCACTATTTGGGGAGAAGCCAGGAGCATTTGGGGCCAAGTGTCAAGGGGCATTTTCCCAGACTCCAAGATTTCCTTATTGCTGGGTCTCCAAGTCCCAAGGCATTGGCAGCACTTCGAGAAGCACATGTTCCAATTGATATGCCAATACTGTCTCTGGACCATTTGGAAGCGTCGTTGCCAAATTACTATTGAAGGACGGTCAATGCACAAGCAGGAGGCAAAGGAGATATTCCTCACATTGCTCGAAACGGATCTGAGGGGGGCACTGGAAGGCAGCGAGGAACCAAATTTGTCAGCAGCCGGAGCAGGAGGAAGAGGTCACGAAACGCTTCAAACATAACATTCTGGGGCACGGAGCCCTGGCAACCATACAGAGAAGTACTTTAATATTCAAATGGAGAAGGGGGTAAAGGGGTACAAGGGGGAACAATTCAAGAGGTTAGGTTTTAGGGCTTTAGCTAGACAGGAAGACGGATAAGAGAGTCAGGAGGAAAGGGGCAAGGGCGGAAGCCACAGGGGTACAAGAGGGAACAATTTAAGAGGCTAGGACCACACAGGAACAAGGGCTAGAGACTTAGGGGGACAGGAGTAAGGGCCAAAGCCAGAGAGGTAGCAGTAAGTCGTGAAGTAAAGACTAGAAGAGGATAGGATTACACTAGGATACCAGGGGCAGAAGGTGTCAGGTTTCACGAACAAGGGTTAAAAAAAAAAAAAAAAAAAAGACCATGGTAACCGCCCGGATGTCCAGACCGGGTTCCAAACGGTCCGGTGTCCAGTCCCCATGTCCGGAAGGAGGCCCTTGGGGCAAAAAAAAAAAAAAAAAAAGGGGAGGCCCAGGACGTTTGTCGGGTCCTAGCCGCCCCACGAAAAATAACGGGGTGATTTTTAAGTGTCCTTTCGCCCCACCGGACATGGCCTAGAGGTCCAGACACAAGGCACTGCACGTTTTTGAGGTG